CAATTGAGAAAATAACTGAAATCACTCCTTTTTCTATTGCCTAAACCCGTATATCACTAAGTGGTATTTGCATTTCCCCAAACCGCAGTATCATTCCAGATTTTGATTTATCCTCTATGTTTTTAATGCCATTCATTATAAATAACGTGATGTGCGTAAATTCTTGTGGTGGGCGCAGAAGAACATAGCTAAAACAGCACTTGGTGACTATATTCTTAATGCAGGTAGTAATAAAGGTGGATACAATCATGTGGGACTTTCTCCACTTGACACGTGCATATCATAAAAAAAAAATGGTCAAAGCCAGATATCTTCGCAGCTCCACGTATTACAGCTAGATTGATGCTATTTTAAGATGATTTCGCAGCGATTCCAGAAAGGTTTCGCCATATGAAAGAAGGCACCTCTGCAGCTATCCAAGCTGGAAATAAATCGTTCATCTGGTCATTAGGTATGAAAGTGGGTACCAAATATTTAAAGAAAACAGCAATTGCAGTGATAAGCAGTAAGTTTGAAAAATTTTTAGCAAATTTATTTTAATGAATCATTTAAAATATTAAATAATCTAAATAATAAATAATATTAAAATATTAAATAATAAATAATAATCTAAATCAACCCGTTTATAAATAATAAGGCCGCTTTAACCGCCTTAATTAAATCCATATTTGAAAAAAGACAACAAAACAATGGATATTGATTTAGCGATCGGATATAACGAGAAAGTCGTAAATTTCGATTAAATTCTATGGGATTCTTTCAATTTTTCGGGATAATATAGGTGAATCGATACAATTTTATGGAATCGCTTCCTTTCTATTATATTGGCAGATATTAAGGAATTGCTTTTGACCACCAATGTCTAAGAAACTCTGATGGATGGCATCAAAAGCGAGGAGGTCCAATCAAGACCTGGATTGGTAGAACGTATAGGGGGACCAGCGATATATGGACTTAGAAGATGGAAAAAATAACGGCTTCTATTAATATTAGCGATGGCGTCAGATCGAGTAACTTGGAGACTCTTACTCTTGTAGCCAGTGAAGCCAGTAGCCATTATTGCTGTTAGAAGAAAAGGATTACAAGTGTCACCGAATGGCGAAAAAAGCTGTAAATTTGAGCAAGTCATCCGGATTCCCGTCCATTTTAAATTAAATATAAGCTCCCAAAAGATCATTTTTGGTCATTTTATACTTCTATTAGGGGAAACGAAGGGAAAGATCATTTTTGGTCATTTTATGCTTCTATTAGGGGAAGCGGTCGGTGAGTGATAGGCATTTAGATCTTATATATGATTTTATTTTACTGTATTATTTCTTTGCAGTGGGGCAATTGTTTCGCTTTGTTTTCTTGTATATATTTGCGTCTTTACTACTAAAGTAAGAACGCTGGCCGCAGAATTTATAATATCATTAAGAAATAAAAGTCCACCGTGGCAGGAAAGTTACTAAATATTTACAGAAAAAACACAGTGGAACGAATTCCCAACACGAATTTTAAAGGTAGACATTGGAAGTGGGAATCGCTGAGCTCCCAACGAAAATTTCGTAGTGATATATACCCTTTTTTCTTTACAACAATTGAGTATTTGGATTTCGAAAGAAAAGCCTTCCATTTATGGCATTATACAAAAAATCGAATATCGAGTGGTACTGATCGTTCATTTATATTTTCTGTGGATCTTTGATAAAGGAGCTTTCATATTAATAGCCAATACATCCAACCAAACCAGAAACGATGAGAAGACATATTGAAGAAATCCGAAAATAAATGGATTTTTTTTTCTGCGCATCTTTTAGGAAAAGATATTTGCATTATTTAGATAATTTTTAAAAGTTATAGTTCAGTTATAGTTCAATTCTATAAAAAAAATAAGTAGCGAATTTCTAAAAATGATGCTTTTCCATTGAAAAAATGTATGGATTTTAATAAATTCATTTGTTTTCAATAAATAAGACCAAAGGACTGGAAGTTGGGAAAATTACGAATTTCTCCAAAATCAGAAACTCACATATTAAAAATTAAACAAACCTTTTGAAAAATATAGAAATACTTTTTCATGAATGCTTTTTAAATTTAGTTAAGTTTTAAGAGAATTAAGTTGTCGGCACAGTAAAAACTGCGAATCAAAACCAAACCAAACAGATATTATTTTATAGAGAATATTTATTGCCTACATTACCTACCGTCTAAAGCATCATGGTAGATAGAATGGCTCAGTGGGCTGTTGATCAATTGGGAGCACCGATGCTAAAATTCGATCCTCCGCAAGAGTAAACCTATACAATCCGGGCGATGCTGGCGACTCACTTGTATTTCTATCGGCAAGTGAGTCCCTGGCATATTGCCCAATGTGACAAGACAGTGGAGCGAGTTGAACCAGTAATTGTGAAGACTCTTAAAAAAGAAACCGTGGTTCGACTGCTGCCTCCGACAGGAATAAACTTCCTGGAAATCAAATCGTAATCAAATCAAAAACTATCCGGACTGCTTTAGAGGTCAACTTGTTTTTCAATCTTCAAGTTTTTTCCGGCTTACTGAGTTAACTCCTTCTTCTTTAGTTATTACGATCTCAAATTTGTTTCATAGCTAAATGATTGTATCTGTCATTTGTGCGATATTTCTTATATCTAAAATAACATTCATGTCCATTGTAATAATAGTTTGATCATTCCTTACTCGTTTTATTCCTTAAAATGATTAAAATAGATAATCAGAAAATAATGCAATATTTCTAGAATAACCTACGAAATCTAAAGAAATTAAAATGATTCGATAAGTAAACAAAAAAATAAGTGGTTAATGTTCATTATTCCTAGCTAAGTTACCTCTGCAGGCTGTTAGTACAAATTTTGCACAGGAAATCACTTGGTGATATATAAGTGACTGCACGACCCAGATTAAGAGGCTGAATCGAGTTCGAAATCTTATTAACACCATAAACTAAGCTATTATTCATTAAGTATGACAACTTCTTAACTTTTATTTTATAACTTTTTGATAACTTTTATTTGATAACTTTTGTTGGCTTCTATTTAATTTCGAAATAAATTAATAAAATATCGCGATAGATTTGAGATAGAATTTTAGAATCAGTGAAATACAAAGGTGAGACCACAACAAAAAGGCTGCACAGCTGCTTTTAAAGGGTTCCTTCCTTCTATAAAGGTCCCATAATATAATTGTAAACTAATATTGAAAAATCAATAATAAAGGAAAATATATGGAAAAAATCCGTTATAATATAGGATTACTCAGGTGATAAGGGGGTGTTGGCTGTAATATTATTATCAAACAGTTGATATAAAGCGAATTTCAATCCGAATGATTTAGCCAATTCTAATTCAGAGAAGTAATCTCTGCCCATGAATCCTCTTAGAAAAATTCACATAAATTTGAGAGGTATTTTCATTAAACATCAGTGCATGAAATATAATTCCTATTTTGTCATGATGTGCCAAATGCACGAAATATATTCATTTCAAAATTTCTCCTGTAAGTCGATCCACTGAAAACATATGCCAAATATAGAAACATTATACCAAAACTGTCAAATCTTATCACTGATTTCTCGAATGATTTATCAAAAAAAAGGATAATTTATTAAAACCAATTATATAACATATAAAGGAAAAATACAACTTTAATGGCCATAAACGATTAAATATTTGCAAAACTTATTAGGGAAATAAATAGCTAGCCACAATAAAAAGAAAGTGAACAGCTAAACAGAAGAGTAAATTATGCACGAAAAAAGCACTTGGTACCCTTTGACTTATGCTTTGATTATTCATAGAAGATTTGAATCCGCAAATTTATACGTTGCGCTTTTAGGTTCTCCAGGTATTACAGGTATCAAATTTCCTATCCGTTGAAATTAAAGAATTGGCTAATTACCATAAAATGAAAAATGAACTATATTGACATAAAAACAAAAAAAAGTGAGAGAGAATTGATGAAGAACTAACTTCTACTCGGAAAATTCTTATGTATTCGAATAATTTTTTTTGCCGGAAAAAAATCCATTGCTTAATTAATTACTTTTCTAGAAATAAATTATAATCAATCAGCCTTACTAATATCAACATTTCCACCAGCTACGATAAAACAATTGATAAAAGTAAAAAGAATAATAATGAACGCGAAGTCTGAGAGAAGATTTCCAGCCCCGAATAGTTTACAATAAAATAAACTAGCATAAATGTTAATACAAACAAAAAAGCCAAATGAAACTGATACATAAAATTTCACATAAAATTTACGGTACAATTGCCAGATTTGTCAAAATAAAGCAAAAAAGATACAAAATAAGCGTAAATATTAGAAAAGTATAGTATAGAAATCTAGAGAATTACAAACATCAAAAAATTTCTACAAATTTTATGGGAAACTTTTTATTGATCCTAAATCATATTATGCATTATATGTATTACATATGCTAAATGATAAATACCAGAGCAGTGCAGAAACTTAAAGTTAATTTACTTCTCAATTTTTACTTCTTAAAGTTTCTTATCTGTTAAGTTAATTCTCCTTTGTAGAAATTCTTCGCTAATCTAGGTTTTTTTTCCGCGTTCTTCATATAAGTTAATTGTAACTGCTCTTCTTCTTTCTCTAACATTTAGATTTCTGCTTTACCTTCATGACTATTAAAATGAAAGCACTTCGCCATGAAGTCACCTGGGAAAAGTGCTTCTCAATACTACTCAGAATTAACTGTAATTATTTTTTTCAAAAAACGACCCGAAATAGAAAAAATTCTTAATCAAATATTCTTAAAACAAATTTTACCTTAAAGAATTCGCAAAAACTCAACGGTCTTCAAAAAAATTTTGATTTTATATTTACTGTCGTAGACGATATATAAATATACTTAAATTTTGAGTTCTGAGAAGACTACTGAGAATAATTTGCAAAAAATTAAAATAAAAATAAAATTTTGAGCAATGAAAGGGAGAAGGAAGATTTTTAATACAAAAAAGACAAATTATTTCAATCGATTAAGCCTTTTTTTCCAAAATACTCGAAACCGAATCCTGGGAATATGGAACTTCATATGGACCTAAAACGGCAATATATAAAATATAAAGAATATATAAATTTAATATATTATTTTTTGTTTCTTTTAATTGAAATTTTTTCTCTCCCTAATAGTAAATGCCAATTCAGATTTAGCTCTGCAGTAAAAAATCATTGAAACAGAAAGGCAACATTCAAATAGATCGCACCTATGTTTGACACAATAAACGTGAAAAATTGCAAATAGTGAAATTATTCCAAGAGAAAAGATTTCTTAATAATAATCTTTAAATAATCATTCTTAAATAAAAAAAGGAAGTATTAATATGGAAATAAATAATCTTATCACTAGGTGTGGCTTAAAACAAATTAATATTAAAATTATAAAATAAAAATGGATATCTGTGAAAACTGTGCCATATACCAAGCATGCATTACCAATTAAACTCTAAATAATTTTGAATAAAATAAGGAAACGACGAAAAAACTGAAAAAAAAACTAAAAATAATTGAAAATAAAAGATTAATAAAACAATTAGATTAGATAAAAATTAGATTAATAAAATAACGTTTTGCTGCTAATTAGATTACTAAGTCTGATTATAAAATTATGCCTGGATTTCGCTTTAAGATTTCCCACTTCTGATTTGGCTCGCTTTACTGCCTATAAGGTGAAACTAGAGTATCATTTAGGAATAAATGGGAGTAGAAATCTAGCTCTCATAACGATCTAGATTTAATTCGTAAATTTTGATCCAATTCACTCCAGTTAAGAGGGCCATACTATAATGCTTGTGCATAATATATCTACTGCAATAGCCACATTATCTCTCCCTTTTAAAACTCATCTGGCTTAAATCTATTTTTCGAATATTTCTGGTCACATCCAATTAAACTATAAGATTATCCTTATAACATTTAGTCCAAGCGTTAATAAGCATGCGAGTGGGATGCATGCAACAAACTTTTTCTATCTGTCAACAAAGGATCCGTACTAGAAGGTCCGGCTAGTGAAATTGATACTTCATCCAACGTTGCATAATCATCTAAAAGAAAAAATAATTTAATCCTTAACAGACTACTAACAAAATTTAAAGCATAAGATCTTTTTTCCACTTTTCCTTCTTATAATTTTTCGAGTTCTCCTTGGTGCTGAACAATAATTCTTGCAGTGCACCAGGTGGGAATGGGACTTTTCACTTCGATGAGTTGCAATATTATAATATCTGAAGAAACCACACGCGTAGCAATTTTTTTCACTTAACACAATACAATAAAAGCAAAGAACAGCAAAAAACGCCGAAAAAACAATTTACTCATAGTTGGTTCCATCCTTGAAGTCTTGAATTTATCAATTTCTTGAGTATTAGGTTTTACAGGTTCAACAATTGATTGCCGATACAGAGGGTTGTTAAATTCGCGACTCTCTATATCCGATGGAGGTAAGAATTCTTTAACATGAGGATAATATCTATAAAAAATATTGAAAGCAAAATATTTTGATTTAAAATGCACAAAAAAAAAGATATTTTATAGCATACGTTAATGTTGGTAGGTCAGGATCCTTTTCCTTATGATATTTTTTCCGGTAGAAGAATGCGACACCAAAAAGAAAAATAGCTACAGCTGTTACGATGCCTATCATTATCATTGTTAACCTTTTGTTCGCTGTTGCTTGCACCAGATATTCTTTATCTTAAAATTTCATTGAGTAAAATGATTCCAATATTAATTTGTCATCTGTATGAAAGCAGAGAAGTTTTTAAAAAGATCTTTATAAATGTTTGTATAGCATAACATCACCTATAAATACTCTATCAACAAACTCTAGATCCTACAATATCTTCAAATAAGTCAAAAACAGGGTTGGCAGAATAGATATCAAAAATTAAAATAAAAACTAACGACTTGATCGACATGAATTAGATTCTGGTTCGCAGCAACCAATCATATTGTCACAAATTTCCGGTGTTGTGCAATTACACTGAATTGAACAATTGTTTCCGTAAAATCCCTCAAGACATTCTGCAATTCCAAATTAAGAAATTCCACCATCAAAAATCATATCATCTTGACTTCTTAACATTTATTATTTGGTTAGAGTGAGAATTCACCAGAAAGTTACTTAGGATAAAGGCGGCACTGTACCTGGCACCACACGCATTTCCAGTGTTTGAGCCATTTAACAAAGATATATGCAAAAGTACTCGAAAAAAAATGGTTGACTGTTGCGATTATTATTGAAGGCGTACTACAGCACAATAGTAAATACATGATTCTTTGCTATTTTAATTATCAAACTCATTATGATTTACTTAAAATATATTAATAGTGAATTCGATAAAAGATTTATTGATACAGAAATATCAATAAATTTTAAAAAATTTAAATGGGCAAAACCTCTGCTAAAATTTAAAAATTTTTCCCTTAAAATTTTGATTTTTCTATTTCTGATCCTCAAAATAGAATTTAACTAAGTAAGATTAAGCGGTCAATACTTACCATTTCTGCTTAGGTTAGCCTCGATGATTGTTAGCAAGATTAGAAAATTTTGCCAGAGACACTTGGCAACAATATATATGCAAAACTATTACCACCAACATAATGTGGATTTTTTTAAATTGAATTTTTTAAATTACTGGTTCTCTTCTCGGAGATAAAAGCACAGCCTCTACCTCTAAGTACAATAATCTGAACAATTATGCACCGCGCTTCTCTCGATTAAAGCCTCAAAAAATGTAAAAATAGTTTAAAAAATTACTTTCACATGTAGCTTCTTGCGTTTGATAAAATCCTAGACAGCATTTCTTCACAAGGTTCTTCACTTTGACTGGAATACCTTTATAGCTAAGCTTTGTTCCATTGCTGCAAATTCAATTATAAAATTTATAAAACGAACCTGAAATTTCCTTTTTCTCTTAATTTAAAGAAAATAATGGACCGAGAAAAAAATTGAAAATAATTCGCAGAAGAAATTAATTATTGCTTTATTAAATCCAGTCATTTTACGAATCAAAAGTTTAATTTTTAATAAAAAAAGGCCTGAAACGCCAGAATTGTTATACCGACCTAGACCAAGAATAATTTCCATCCCTAGATAAGGGCGAATGTTTCTTTAAAAATGATGAAGCCCAAACTATGCTGGAGATCCACCTATATTTTTATTTCACTTTTATTCCCAAGTGTTTTCTGATGAAGAAATCTGAATCTACTCCCGAATCAGGCCAGCTCAACCAGAAATGAGTTCTGTTAGAAGAATGAGTAGCCGAGAGAATGATTCACATCTTAATTGTCCGTAAATGGTCACCCTTCAATACGATATGTTACAATCCAAGAATCTGAAAGCTATTCGTTACTTTCCTACTATGAAATCACCTATCAAGCTATATTTTTTTAAGAATATATTATATATCATTACAAAGATTTGTTATGCACATTTACGCTAATTTAAACAGGTTAATTTCTAATCCAATTTCTAACTAAATCGAATTAATAATTTAATCCGAAATCCTCACCTCTTAACTTTACACCTGAATCCTTGAGTGATATCCCAACATGGTTTTATCGTTTCTAAAATAACAGGACGCTCGTGCTTCTGTAGGCTTAACTCCTCTCGCCTAAAAATTATAGATTGTATTTGGATAATTAACCAAAGTTGTTTAACAATGAAAGCTTGAATCCTAAATTCGAAAACCCATAAAGACTTCCAAGTAACCAACTGAAATTCAAATTTATGACAAATTCATCTATTTTTTTCCATCTCAAACTTTTTTGTAAAAATTTTTCTGAAATTCAGCAATATCTTGGAAACCAAAAAATTACATATTGAATATTATATATTACATATAATTAAATATAATACATATAACAAAATAAAATATTACGTAAATTATAATTAAAATATTAAAATATAATATAATAAATATTATATATATTATAATATTATTATATTTATTAATATAATATTATATATTGTATATATTTACTATTTATTTATATTTTGAAGAAAAATATTATATATTTATGTATTGAAAAGAAAACCAAAAAAAGCTAGGTATTGAAAAAGCTAACTCTTCCTCGGCGGTGCAAATATTGTCACCATGTAATTCGACACATATACAAATAACTGGAATACTCGTTAGCGTTAATAAAATTAATAAATTATGGAAAATCATTCCTGAAACGAAAAAAAAGAGCGTTTTTGGAAAGACAAATTTGCTTATTCATGCATGTTATCATATAAACATTTTTCTTCCACTAACAGCGTTCATTATTTCTAATAATGTTACTCCGTAGGATTAGACCTCATCAGACAGTCATCATCTCAGGAAAAAGTTACAGCTGGATTGGCTTCTATCCGGAAATGAATAGAAATAATACCTGAGGAATAAAAATTTAGGAAATTTTTCAGACTCTGTAATGAAATAAAGGCGGCAGCAAAACAATAAATAAAAATAATAAAAAAATTGATGTGAATAATAAATAAATATGCAATGAAAGTGATACGATTAGACGACGCAATATAATAAAAATAGCGCTGTTTTTTCCCTAGCATTCATCATTTTGTGGTTAGGTTCGCTGATTATCAAGGTGGTCGGTCGCCTTGGCCAGAGAGCCATCCGTGGATAAAGAACGGGGCTTCCAGCACCACACTAATTTCACTTTTAATGACTTCAGATATAACCGTCGATTATTTATTCTTTCTTCGTCTTTTTTTCCTCTCTTTGAATATGTAGTGGATAAGATTAAAAAATGGCACCAAAGAGACTATAAAAGAGGACAACACTTCCTGGTTTTCTGTAAAAAGAGCGGTGAACTGATAGAATTACTTATATTCAATAAAGGCAGAGGTCAGAGCAAACGGAGGTCATACTAAAGTCCACATAGTCCATACACATAGCTTTCATTTAAAAAAATATATTTGATTATTATATATTAGCATTTTATCGATCACAATAAACCTTGACCTTAAATTCTTTGAGGAAAAGAAGGAATTTGACGATAATAGTCTATTTATCAGCTGAAAAATATAATATATGTTTCATGAAAAAAATGGCATAGTTATAGCTTTTCTTTATTAAATAAACGATCCAGGTGATTCTTGAAGCCATAAAGACAATCGCCTAAAAGCAGAAATCATATGAATGCCAACTATCTATGTTCCAATATTTTTGAAAGAATAACAAAAACTTTTTTACTGTACTATTTTCCTTTTCTATCTATCCATCTACATATTGCAATCTGATACAATGCGAATGCTCTTTCTTCGAAACCATAAAAATTGTGCTGAAGAACTGTACGTTATTCCTATGTAAATCGGAAATGCGAAAAAAGAAATTACGCATTTCACCATTTCTGGTTTGGTCCGTTTCACTAGGATTCGAAACCTCTTCACCAAAAGTCATTTGGAGATGGAAGTATGTGTCCACAGAACCAGTCGGACTTCACTTTTAAAACAGATTTATTCTCGAATAAGAAAAAATATAATGGCTTGAATTCAGACAAAATAACATCTCGATCATTCCATTCTCGCCATTCGATCATCCCTTAATCAAACAATCAATCAAAACTAGTAGAAAGTAAACGGTCACTTAAAACTGCAAATATTTAAGAAAATATTCGAGGAAGTACAATTATTTCAGTTACAAAGAAAAATACAATATAGAATATCATTTCAATACAATATAGAATACAATATAGAATATAGAAAAAAAAAAATATCATTTCGATAAGATAAAAACTTGTTTCCAATATTGAAAAAAATCTAGCGACTTTCAAGTAGGAAATCACTCGGCTAAAAGATATCGAAATGAATATATGAAGAATATAACCTAATTAATCTACTGCAACAGGAATGGTAACAACAGCAATTCAGAAATAATCGACCTTCCTTTTCCTTTTCTGCGACTGTTTCATTGTTCCAAATAGTACAAATACGAAAATTAATATAGCATATAAAGAAAATTGATGAAAGATTATCTGGACAGCCAAACATTTTTAAGAATGAGTACAACAAAAACTTCAAGAATGCACATGTGGAGTATCTAAATAAATTGGACTGGGTGAAGACCATCTAGGTTATATGGCAAATCATTACATTTTGGGATATCGGTGCAAAGAAATTCCATAACTTTTAATAATTATATTAGACATTTCACTGGTCTTTCTGTGCGTTCAGAATTTTTCCTGACTGTATATCAGTCCGGATCTTCACTGGACCACCTCGTTTGTGACGCCATCCATCATAGGGTTTAGCAGGATTTATTACTTTATAATTACTAAGCAAATTATTTTTCTATAGCTGATATACCTTTCTATACTTTTTCTTCTTCTTACATTATAAGTATTGCCGAAAAAAATAAAAATTTTCTAAAATTAAGGTGGTGATTACTAATGTCAGGATAGATGATTTAGATCATCGTATTGAAAGGAAAATTCCACCACTGGAAGTACTGTCATTTAAAAAATCGGGTGGTGCAGCAAGCGACCCCCACTTTTAACTAAGCGGCTTTCTCTCACCAAATTTCTAACCATATTAATAACCCACAGGGCTAGCCTAGAAATAAAAAATGTCGACCACTTTGACCACTTACTTACTCTTATTAATGAAAAAATGGTACTTAGTAAGCAATACTTTCCACATAACTTCCATGCTACGCTAAAGGCAAGCGAAAAAACGCGGGAAAAAAGAAAAATGATGATAATTTGACAACATTTTCATCATATACAACATTTGACAACATTTTCCTGTAAACGAAACTTTATGAAGTTATCGGAAAGGAGAACCTTTATGAAGCAAGAGAACGAAGAAAATAATGGATTTAAAAATACTGTTGGTCAATTCTGGGGATGTGGCTGCTGCTGGTAGCCCACCCGCACTGCTGTAATTTCATTATGTTGCCTCAGCCAATACAACCAATTAAATCAGAGATGATAAATGCTACTGGAAAATGAATTCTGGGGAATTTACGGATATGGAACAACAAAGAGGACTGAAAATTATATTAACTACAATAACACTTGGAATCGAAAATATAGTGTGGAATGCGGTGAGAAAAGGTGCAAAGAATGGCAAAGAGACGATTGAAGATGCGAAAAATTTTCCCACTTCAAAACATATCATTGATCGATTTTTAACAGCATTTCCGTCATCTTACTTGTCCAAGAAAGAGAAAGAGATTTTACCATTCCAGCTGCCAGAGATGCCAGAAATTAAACAGTTATATTCAGTATGCATGCTTTCTGGAAAACGGCAGAATAAAATTATTACTGATCGATTTTATCATAAAATTTTGTTAAACAATTCTCTGAGGTGAAAATGATCGAGTGATGTTGTTTTTATTAAGGTGCTATTATATTTTCGACATCCTTTTTGGGAGTAAATCCATCATTGAAAGTGAAATGGAGGAGATACTGGCTTTACATCCATCCTCAAGCAACTCTCTGATTGAAAGGTTTCACCGTAACAGTCAGCGCAGTCAGTCCAACTAGAAATAATATTATTATAAGAAGAATAATGAAGAAGAATTGTTTCCTTCCAGATAAAGAAAAAACAAATGGAAGAAAAAACCTGGATAACAAACCATACATCAAAAAACACACCATTTATGGCCATTTCTCTTCCTCACCTGACTTCCATCTCAAATTTTCGCATCGTTTCGTCAAAATGCCAGAAAGCCTAATTATATAAAAATGTCGAATAAGATCCGTTTATGAACCGATTATAAAAATAAAATTGAATATTCGAGGAAGATCGGTAAACGATCGGCTTATTTAAAACTTGTCTTTGATTATACTCTATAGGTAAATTTATGGGTCAGAACCAGGTTATGTCACTGAGCGTTTGGCGTTTTAGAAGGAAATTGTAATAATCGATGATGAGATGATGCACATACTAGCAAAAACATTTTTATTATTTCTCATGCGATATTCGAATCAGCAACAAAATCGGCATAAATCAACGAAATATACAAAACATCATTAACCGTTTAACCGTTGATATGATTTAGAACTGCTTTAGCGAATTATTAGACCGTTTGCTATTTATGCGAAGCAGGCTTTGTTGTTGCGTACCTTCAGGAGAAATAAACTTGTCATTGAAAACTTCTGGTGATCCTGACACGCACTTGTTCTTCTAACTTTAAGTGATTCCTAACTAAATTTCTCATCCTACAAACAACCAATGGAACAAATCTAATAAGAAATGATAACCGGTAAACATTTTCATTTGTGTGGGAACACAAATACATTTAATAGTATTTAACAAAGAGAGTTAATATTTCTTATTTGAAGAAAAGGTAAATCGCTAATTTTCATTTAAAAATTTGCATTTTTTAGGAAATCTAGGCATATATAACTATATTTCTCGCTATATTTTCCCTACACTTAAATTCTCTAATTTCAATGCTAATATAGTCTAAAACTGTGGGTTTAATGAAATTTTAATGAAATTATACAATCGAAAAAGAAGTTTAAGAATTTTTATCACTAATACTATTTTAAATAATTGTAAAAATTAGATGATTAGACAGAAGAGATAAGAGAACGGAAGCTAATTTTTTAATTTAATGCCTTCTGAAAACAAATAAAGAGCAAAGCAATGAAAAAAAAAGCTTAGTGAAGAATCATAACAAACAAAAGAAAAAAATTTAACCAAATTCTCTCATTGGTCTATTGGCAAAATAGAGATATTATGCAAGAAAAACCGCTGTGAGAGTTGACATACTGAAATGTGTAAAATGACTCTTTAATCAAATATATTTACATCCATTTCACGACAAAGATTACATTGGATAAACTGATAAGCGAATAAGTGATCGAAAATTTGAGATTTACCAATGAATAAATTTTGAAAGATTTAGAGAACGTAGTGCCAATCGTATGCATTCATTTACACAAATTGATTTTATAGCGAATACAGCTGTAGCTCAAATAAAACAGAAAAGTTTGCAATATATACTACAGCTACAATACAATATATACTACAGTTGCCGGTTAATGATTAACAAAAAAGACGGAAGCAGTTTCATAATTTCATAATTACTAGAAATTATTCCTAGATTGCATATATATGGGGTTTTGGTATTGGTTTTTCCAAAAAATCATCTAATGTTTGCAGAATTCTTGCAGTATGGCTGCAAAATGGCCGAACCACGATAATCGAGGTGAAAATCCAAGCAAAAACCGCTTGTCTTTCTTTACATACATAAGCTGCATTGTTTTTTATAGATAATCTATTCAGTATCATTTTTTCCCTTTTGTATATATCTCT